GTGATTGGTCATGATCAGAAAATGACCCCTATTGATTTTGGGGTCAAAGGTCAAGGTCACATTGACCTCTTAGGTAAAAGCAGTTTCCGATCAATAACTAAAGAACCTTTAGGCCTAGGAACTTCAAACTTGGTATGGTGATTGGTCATGACCAGCAGATGACCCCTACTGATTTTGGGGTTAAGGGGTCAAAGGGCAAGGTGTCATTGACCTTGTAGGTAAAAATGCTTTCCGATCAATAACTTAAGAACCCTTAGGCCTAGGAACTTCAAACTTGGTATGGTGATTGGTCATGACCAGCAGATGACCTATTGTTTTTAGGGTCAAGGGGTCAAAGGTCATGTAACATTGACCTTGTAGGTAAAAACGGTTTCCATTCAATTTACTAAAAACGCTTGGGCCTAGGAACTTCAAACTTTGTATGATGATTGGTGGTGACCAGCAGATGGCCCCTATTGAGTTTTTGGTCAAGGGGTCAAAGGTCAAGGTCACATCGACCTTGTAAGTAAAAACGGTTTCTGATCAATAACTTAAGAACGCTTAGGCCTAGGAACTTCAAACTTGGTATGGTGATTTTTCATGACCAGCAGATTACCCCTTTCGATTTTGGGATCAAGGGGTCAAAGGTCAAGGTCACATTGACCTTGTAAGTAAAAACGGTTTCTGATCAATAACTAAAGAACGCTTCGGCCTAGGAACTTCAAACTTGGCATAGTGATTGGTGATGATCAGCAGATGACCCCTATTGATTTTGGGGTCAATGGTCAAGGTCACATTGACCTTGTATGTTAAAACGGTTTTGGATCAATAATAAAAGAACCCTTAGGCCTAGGAACTTCAAACTTGGCATGGTGATTAGTCATGACCAGCAAATGACCCCTATTGATTTTGGGGTCAAGGGGTCAAAGGTCAAGGTCACATTGACCTTGTAAGTAAAAATGGTTTCTGATCAATTAACTAAAAACGCTTAGGCCTAGGAACTTCAAACTTTGTATGATGATTGGTCTTGACCAGCATATGACCCCTATTGAGTTTTGGGTCAAGGGGTCAAAGGTCAAGGTCATGACCAGTAGATACTTGATAACCCTTATTAATTGTTTGATCACTGGGTCAGAAGTCATGCATAATTACCTTATCACATGAATAATTGGCTGCTGATAGGGGGCATACATGTTTTACAAACATATCTTGTTAAGGAGTAAGCTCAATAATTCATAAAAACTATTAGTAGGAAATAAATATTTCTCCATTAAACATTTTTTATTAACAGATCAAAAGTTTTTCGTGACTCTAGAATAACTCGCGCATTAATAAAAGAAGAACTCTTTCCGTGACTCATACCGCGGATTTAGCTGCATGAATATGCAGCAGTTATTAATAAATTAGACTACAGTACAATGGTTAGTATTATAAATATCTATTTTTGAAAATGCATGGGATCAACACTTTACCACCGTGTAGTCTTTCATGGTAATCTTTCTTGAAGGAAGTTATAATATCAGTTCTACTTCCGATTCTTGTGTTTTCTTTACATAATTTTCTAGGTCACGATATGTGAGATTATAATAGCCAACACTATTCTAAAAATAGATTCTGCATCACCTGTGCTGACTTTCGGACAAGCGATTAGGGTGTACACATTTATACATGTAATAAACCAGCGTATACTTACTTTGTTTACATGCAATACTTTAAGAAATTCTATTGTAAGAAGCAAACAAGTTGAAAATGGAATTTAGTGTGAAATTGAAAGGGACAATTAAACACTGTAGTGCTTAAGTGACATTTAAATTAAAATAAAAACTTTGTGCTCTGGCCTCTACATGTTAACCTTGTAAATGAAAAATAATTAAATTCTAAAAAAATACACCATTAATTGCTGATGATTTTAACCAAAAATATTTTTAATGAGACATATCCAAGAGAAATAAAAATACAAATGACTTATATCTTATTGTCTATATGCCCACTGTGATATAACACGAAGCAATTCTAATTAACATTCTCACATGTATTATGCTTGAAGTTTATTTGCATGGTTGTATTTTAGAAATATTTCGTTGACAGTTTTTTTTTCTATTTACATATCATTTCTTGGAATAAATCGATAAGGACACTGATATACAAGTTTGACCAGAGTTCTAAGGCATAAATTTCATTCTGTATTTAAAAATTTGGACTTGTTCTGCTTGAAAGTAGAAAATCTGAATTATATCAGATTGGGACACATAAAATATATTGCTCTACAAATCATGAACTTGTATGGAACAAATTTTCTCTGTTATACCTTTTGTGTGTTTTTTTTTCTCAGAAAAGCCTTAATGTCTCTCCGGTTGCATGTCCGTCGCATTCAGTGCTGCAGCACTTTGATTATATATGTTAGTTTCGCAACACACGTTCAGACTGGAGGCAAACAGGACGTTTCGGCCCAAAACCAAATCGACCCAAAGACATTTCAGCCTTTTTCTATGTTATTCAATACGTGAATTGCCGACCAATGTTTTTATAATATTCATTTGATTCAATTTGCTTTATTAGATAAAATATGATTTGTTAGTATCATGTTTTGCTTATGTTTTTCAGAGCTCTGGACTGATGAGCTTTTAGGAAAAAATGGTAGTCGTACAGCTAGCCAAAAGTTCAAGCCATATCTGAGTCACATGTATATTTCTACACTGGCGACCCACTATTACATACCAACTAGTCTTTAAAAAAAAAACCTACCTACACTTGTGGGCCACTATTACCTGCTATCTTAATAGCCTTGAAATATATAATTAATAATACCTATCTACACTGGTGGCCTACATACCATCTAGTCTTGAAATATCTAATTATTAATACCTACACTGGTGGCCAACTATTAAATCCAATATAGCCTAAGCGTATCTCATTATAATACCTTCCTGCCCTTGTTGGCCACTATTACATGCTATCTTTTCTTGAAATATCTTATCATTATGATAAATACCTACCTAGGCTACACTGGTGACCCACTATTAAATCCTATTTAGCCTTAACATATCTCATTGACTCATTATAATACCTACCTACATGGGTGTCCCACTATTTATATAGACGATTCCAGAAATTAGTGTTTACCTGATTATCTCCCCTGAATACTCTTCACGGCCGCCATTACGGTACTGCAAATATCTAAACAAAGACGCCGGTAACTTATGAATGTTTCGAAGTATTATTGATTTCAACGGACAATTTCAATCATATTTGCAAACATGTCATATAAAAAGAGTGGTGGAAAGCAATATTTGGTTGTACAAATAACCAGAAAAAACTATCAGAATTTAAAAAATCGATCTGCAATGACCATGGAATGAAACATGAAGACTGTCCGTGTTTAGAGCCGTAGAAATTCCACTGTATTCCAAAGAATGAAGAAATGAGGAGAGCTTGGTTAAAGTCACTAAATCGGAAGGATTTTAATCCTACTTCAAAATCTCTGGTTTGTTTATAAATCTTTTAGATAAATTCTAACATATTCCTTGTGAAATAGATTTCACAAAGAGACATCAAGGTATTTTAACTGTGACTGTCTGACAGTCTATACCATGAACCAGACTGTTTAAGTATAATTAATAAAGTTGATTTGAAATCAGTTTCTTTATTTTAAAATTCTGTCCAAGATACTGATCGAACACTTTACAGGATGAGATTTAGCAATTCAGTCATGTAGATCTACATTAAAATTGATAAAAAAATAATCCTGGCAAGTTCAATACATAGGCATACAATTCTTTGTACCATCCTTCCAGTATAATAAACTGAATTAAATTTTCTTTTATAATTTGAGATTATTTTTTTTAAATTTTAATGGGCAATAAATACAGTTTTATTATCTTTCTGCAGGTCTGTTCTGTTCACTTCATTGATGGTCGGCCTACTAAGGAGAATCCAGTGCCAACATTACATATGGGATATGCAATAAATGTTCAAACTCCTGGTAGAAGACCACTTGTGCGTAGAACATTGGCCCTCAATACACCAGTTAAACCGGGTCAGGACAGTATTCAACTTGAAAGCACCAGGGAAGAGAAGTTAATAGCAACACCTCTTAATCCTCTGGATGAAAATTTTATTGAGCAAAGTGTATTTACTGATCAATGTGAATCAACTTGCTGCCACATGTACCCTGCACTGTGTAAAAATTATGTAAAACCCAAATTAGTTGACAGTAGTACTCAAACTATAGATATTGTTCAACTTGATTATAATTACTGGTACAAGGAAAAAAAAGAAATGCATCAACACAACACTCAGTACCTGAATTTACAGCAGACAACATTAAAACAGATACCGATTCGAGATTTTACACAGGACTAAGCTTGTCAGTGTTTATGACATTAATATCAACACTTTCTCAGTATGGTAAAAACTTGCCATATAAGTTAAGTGTACCTGATCAGATTTTATCAGTACTTGTGCGACTGAGATTAGCATTAACTTTCAGGGATATTGCAAGGAGATTTGACATTTCGCATCAATTAGCTAGCAATATTTTCCATTCATGGATTGACATTATGGCGGAGCATTTATCTGCTTGTATAGTTTGGCTACCAAGAGAAACAATAAGACGGACACTTCCATCTTCCTTTAAAACTTCATTCCCCAAGACAACTTGCATTATCGATTGTTCTGAAATTTTCATCCAAAGGCCATTTTCCTTAAAAGCTAGAGCACAAACATGGAGCACATAAAAGACACAATACTGCAAAGTTTTTAATTGCTATTGCACCAAATGGATTCATCATGTTTATTTCTCCACTTTATGGTGGAAGGGCAAGTGACAATTTCATTACTAAAAATTGTGGATTTTTAGAATATTTATTACCAGGTGATGAAGTCATGGCTGATAGGGGTTTCACTATAGCAGAAGACTTATGTGCGAGGCGTGTTAAACTAAATATACCAGCATTTTTGAAAGGAAGAACCCAACTCTCTGAAGAAGAGACAATAGACTCAAGAAGGATAGCATCAGATAGGATACATGTTGAAAGAGCAATTATGCGAGTTAAGTCTTATAGACTGTTAAATACCAAACAAAATATTAAATCATTAAAAAAAGCGAATAAAACTCTAAAGGTAATTGCGGCCTTGTGTAACATGAGGGACTCTCTCATAAAGGAAGGAGAAGAAGAAAACGATTAAAATCAAAATTTAATAAGTTAAATATAATAAATAACATATCAACCAATCAGTGAAATAACATGCATAAACAATAGATAATTATCATACTAAACTTGTCTGTTAAACAATTCACTTTTGTGACTGGATATGCCAATAACCATTATCAACTGACTGAATGTATAATCATCAATGACATTGTGCATAAATTGAAGTTGAATATTATTTCGAATAAATTTATATGTTTTAATTGTTCCTATTCATTGAATTTCCCAAGAGATGTTATTATTTTTTCGAAAAGAATCTCCACAAGTACTTAACAACTTCTCAACATAATTTTTACATACAATGTATTTACATATCACTTGCAAAACCTATCAAAGAGTTTGTTAAACACTGTCCAAAAATAATCTCCACAAGTACTTAACAACAGTCACAACTTCTCAACTTGATACTTACATATCAGTTGCAAAACCTTTTGTATTCAGGCGACAATTTCAAGCGGCCTGATAAATGCTCGTCAGTTAGTCTTACTAGAAGATGTTTAAAATAAAAGTTTCTGACTCTTGGTAAAATTTCCTCAATAAAATCCTCATTGTAAAGTACATCAAGTACAACCTGTTCCTCTGCTGTCCATACAATAAACTTGCAAAGTCTTGCTTTTGTGCAAAACATGGCTAATTGGACTTGACAATAATATCCGTTTTTACCTTTTGGGTTCAGATGTAACTGTCCATTTTGTAAAACAACGTCGTATTTTCCAGTGTTTATCATGTCTTTCAATGGTTTTGTTGGGCATTTAATTTCAATGATTGTGTTGTCATCAATTTTACCATTTGGACTTGCACCTATGTATGGCTCTTCATTGCTAACAACTATACCACATTTCATAACTGGCTTTCCCGACACGCCCTCAAACCAACTCCTAGCCACAGGTTCATACTTGTTGCCATGCCGAGTAGCAACACAGCCCTTAAATCTATTATAAATTTGGTTTGTCACATATTTATTAGGGTCCCCTCTGCTGGATTTTGGCAATGCATGCACTTTACTTGACGTAATTCTAAGTCTTCTGCTGTCCTGCCATAGATTATTATTTTGGTTCTTTGTTTCCATGGCCAGATTATAGATATTTGCATTACTTAAATTAACATTTTTGTTATAAAATGTGTTACATGATTCACATGGTAACGGTTGGCACACAGCCGATGAAGAGTCAATTTCATGTGAACCGTGGCTTATTTCAATATCAACATTTGGCTCAACTTCAGGAACATTTAGAATAGCATTGAGTAATGTTCCTTTACACTCCCACAATTTCCTTAAGGATGATTCCATTACATCTTTCTTCAATTCACTATGATCAATAAATTGTTTAGTTTTCGGTACATTGTCAGTGCATGTCATTTCTTTTTGTTGCTGAAGTACAAAAGGACTAGGTCGTCTAAAATTCATTTCACTTAATTGGTTATGATTTAAAACCTGGGAAACTCCCTTCCCCCATGCCTGTTGCTTATCCGTACAGGTTTCGCCTCCAACTCCACTTGCCCAAGCTAATGTAATTGCATAAATCACAGCAGAAATATGACTGCAGCTTCTTCCTTTTCCTGCTGGACAGGAGCACAAACCTGTTTCAATTTTACAGTCCTCAGTTCCTGACACGGCTACCCATGTGCTGTAATCTCTACGCCCAACACCGGGCTGACTTGGTGATATCACTGCTTTTAGGAAGTTAATATTGTCTACTTTCAATGAGTAAATATCTCCCATCCAACCGTTTTGCACGTAATTATATCCATATAAAGCTCGAAAAGATTTCATAGCCTTTCCATCATAAGCTTTAGCATTGATGAGGTAGTCGACCAGGTCCTCATACGTAAGCTTTGGCCAGGTTTTTGAGTTATTTCTTTCCCATTTTGCATCATCTGGAGGTAAATCTATAAGAGAAATGGAAAAAATGCTTTTTAGGGAACATCAATGGCATGTAAACCACATGTATGTCTAACAAGATATAAATCTGTGTATTAAAAGAAATAAACATGACAACTAAAACTTTATAACAGATTCCAGATCACGATGATACATGTAATACATAACAACGAAAACACTCGCTTAGAAATCATATTTAAAAGTTACGCCATTAACAAGTCCGCGTCGAACACTTCGTACACCTACATAATTTGATATAAACTGAATTAAACAAACTCATTAATAAACATCATTATTTCATAATTACCTAAATAAATCCCTCACCACTTTCCTTTTACTAAACAAATCCATTCATTATACATGTATATCTTTACATGATTAAAAAAACTTCGGGAGGCTGAACTGAAGTTTACTGAGTACACAAAAATTTGCCGTGTAAACAATCGTTAAATTTATGCCCAAGTTACCGTCAATTCTCAAGGTCTATGCTACTAGCTGGTTACTGTTACGTTCATATATTATATTCCATATAAAAAAACTTACCAATAGCCGCTCTTTCGCTCATTTTTCACGAAAATTTTGATTTTCAATATTGGCTTGGCATTCACAGACTTTCAGAATCAGTACCGTAATGGCGGATGGTCACGTGACAAACAAAATGGCGGCCGTCTAATTATTGATTATGGAATCGTCTATATACCATCTAGTCTTGAAATATCTAATTAATAATGCCTACCTACACTGGTGGGCCACTATAACATGCTATCTGATCTTGATATATCTTATCATTAATATCTTTTTACACTGGTATACACTTTTTACACTGGTATACACTGGTATACACTAGCTTACGGAACGTCGGTGGTTCTACTCAGGTGCCCGTTCGTGCCTTAAATAATGCAGGGAAGGGCACCTGAGGTCTTCCTCCACCAATAAAGCTGGAACATCGCGATATGACCTATACTGTGTCGATGTGACGTAAAACCCAAAACAAACAAACACACACTGGTATCTTATTATAAATTGATAGGCCACTATTTAATCTTATTTAACTTTAACATATCTCATTATAAATATCTACCTACACTGGTGGGCCACTATTACAAACTATCTAGTCTTGAAATATCTTATTGTTAATACCTACCTACACTGGTGGGCCATCATTACATCCTATTTAGCCCATAACATATATTATTATAATACCTACCTACACTGGTGGGCCACTATTACAGACAATTTAGTCTTAAAATTTCTTATTATTAATGCCTTATTTTTTAAATTAGTGGCGGGCCACTTTTACAAACTATCTAGACTTGAAATATCTCATTTTTAGCTCGACTTTTTTTTTGTAAAAAAGTAGATATTGATAGAGTCGCGGTGGCGTTGCCGATGCCGTTGCCGTCCGCAAACTTGTACTTGGATCATAACTTTTTTAGTTCTTGGTGTATTATCTTCATACTTGGCAACAACAACCCTTGGGACAAGACCTTTCAGTAGACCACACTAACCTTGACTTTCATCAATAAATGACCTTGACCTTCAAGGTTAAAAGTCCAAATTTTCCTTGTTATTGCTATTATTGGCTGTAACTTTGTTATTTTTGAATGGATTGTCTTCAAACTTGAACATAATAATCTTCAAGGTTATCCCTTAAAAATAACCAGACATACCTTGACCTTCACTCATAAATGACATTGACTTTGAAGGTCAAATTATTGAAATTTTCATTTTTTGGGCTATTATTGGCTGTAACTTTGTTATTTTTGAATGGATTGTCTTCAAACTGGAACATAATAATCTTCAAGGATAACCCTTAAAAATAACCAGACAGACCTTCACCTTCACTCATTAATGACCTTGACTTTGAAGGTCAAATAATTGAAATTTTCATTGTTTTGGCTATAACTGGCTGTAACTTTGCTATTATTGAAGGGATCAACTTCATATTATAACAGAACATTCTTAAGGACAAGACCTTGTTGTTTATCAAACCCAAATTGACTTGGGCTCATTAATGACCTTGACCTTGAAGGTTAAATTACTGAATTGATCTGTGCGTGTATACACACACACACACACATATATATACATGCATCATAATCATCATCATCAACAACAACAACAACAACAGAATTGCGTGTTTCTATTTATAGAATTGCTTGTTTCTATTTTTAGAATTGCGTGCTTCTATTTTTAGAATTGCGTGTTTCTATTTTTAGAATTGCGTGTTTCTTTTTATAGAATTGCGTGTTTCTATTTTTAGAGTTGCGTGTTTCTATTTTTAGAATTGCATGTTTCTATTTATAGAATTATATTTTTAGAATTGCGTGTTTCTATTTTTAGAATTGCTTGTTTCTATTTATAGAATTCTATTTTTAGAATTGCGTGTTTCTATTTTTAGAATGGCGTGTTTCTATTTTTAGAAATGCGTGTTTCTATTTATAAAATTGCGTGTTTCTATTTTTAGAATTGCGTGTTTCCATTTATAGAATTGCGTGATACTATTTTTAGAATTGCTTGTTTCTATTTTTCGAATTGCGTGTTTCTATATATATATAACACGAGTACATTTATATATACAAAATATATAGACAAAACTAATGTGACAAGACAGACCGATTAAACTTATAAAAAGGAAACGTTAAGAATTGTTCAAACCGCTCTTTGTTTGCTCATAGAGAAAGTAAAAAGTCGAGCGTTGCCCCAGCCCGGCGGTGGCTCTTGTAAATACCTTCCTTTATTCACTGGTGGGCCACTATTACAAACAATCTAGTCTTGAAATATCTTATTATAATACCTACCTACACTGCTGGGCCACTATTAAATCTTATTCAACCTTACTATACCTCATATTAAATACTTACCTACAATGGTGGGCTACTATTACAAACGATCTAGTCTGGAAATATCTAATCATTAATACCTACCTACACTGATGGCAAACTATTCAATCTTATTCAACCTTACTATACCTCATTATAAATAGCTACCTACACTGGTGGGCCACCATTACAAACTATGTAGTCTTGAAATATCTTGTTATTAATACCTACCTACACTTGTGGGCCACTATTATATACAATCTAGTCTTGAAATATCTTATTCTTAATACCTACCTACACTGGTGAGCTACTATTACAAAATATCTAGTCTTGAAATATATTATTATTAAAACCTACCTAAACTGGTGGCCCACTGTTAAATCATATTCAATCTTACTATACCTCATTATAAATACCTACCTACACTGGTGGGCCACTATTAAATCCTATTTACCTTTAAGATATCTCCTTATAATACCTATCTACAGTGGCGGGACACTATTACAAACAATCTAGTCTTGAAATATCTTATTATTAATACCTACCTACACTGGTGGGCCACTATTACAAACTATCTAGTGTTGAAATACCTGATTATTAATACCTACCTACACTGGTTGGAAACTATAACAAACCATGTAGTCTTAAATATCTAATCATTAATACCTACCTACACTGGTGGGCCACTATTACAAACTATCTAGTCTTGAAATATCTTATTATTAATACCTACCTACACTGGTGGGCCACTTTTACATGCTATCTAGTGTTGAAATACCTGATCATTAATATCTTCCTACACTAATGGCCCACCATTAAATCCTATTTAGCCTTAACATCTCTCTTTACACTTGTGGGCCACTATTACATGGTATCTTTTGTTACACACAATGAATTACAAGTTTTACAAGGCTAAAATTTATTGTCCATTCACAAAAAAACAAACAATAATGGACTTGTTTTGGAGGTTTCTAATTCTTGAATTTCTACCTTAAATTCTGTTATATATTAACATCATATATGATCACTTAGGTTTTCTGCAAACATTTTTTTACAAAAAATCTTTCATGAAATTAGGTAGGTTTAAACACTTGTGAAAATTTCTGATGTGATTTTTTAAAATGTGCTGAAATTAAGGTTGTTGTAGACTAAAAATGATTTGGAATAAGATGGAATTACAACGTATTAATTAGTCAGGTATTATTTTGTTCATAAAATATACTGATGGGAAAAAGAAACGCCCCCACGGAATTTGGCGTTATTTTCCTCATACCTATTGAAATTTTAGTGAAATGTAATCTGTATACATGTAAATTGACCAACAATCACGGCAAAGAAAAATCGTGCGCTTCTATTCAGCCTGATGTTTATTTCCGGGCGAACGCAAGAACAAGTCGCCAGACATTTTAACATCTCGAATTCGACAATTTGGCGTCTTGCTCGACGTGTTAGAGTTACGGGAACATTTGCCAATCGGCCACGTGTAACGTCTGTCAGACAAAATAATTTCATACGCCAATGTCATTTGCGTGACAGGTTTCTGATGGCAGAATCGACGTCGGGTTAAGTAATCGGTAAGCGTGGTAGCCCAATAAGTCATTATACGTTTAGAAAACGATTAAGGGAACGCGGGATTACCTGCCGTAGACCCTACCGTGGTTAAGTTCTAACTTTAAGCCACCGCCATCAACGTCTGATCTGGGACTGCAACCATCACGGTCAGCGTTGGCAGAACTTTGTGCTCAGCGACAAGTCACGTTTTAAGTTATGGAACGCCGACGGGCGTATCCGTGTGTACAGGCTACGTCACGAACGCTACGTTGACAATTGCGTGTGGATAACAATCCGTACGGAGGGGGCGGAGTTATGGTCTGGGCAGCAAAATACAGGTTTAAGACACAACGTGTCGTCTGCCAAGGTAATCTCACAGCAAAGTGTTACATAAACTAGGTTTTACGTCCTGTGGTCGTCCTGTGGTTGTACCGATGTTCAGCCAAAGTCAAAGCCTGGTCTACCAGCAAGACAATACGTGATCACACGCTGTACCTGCCACCCGGGATTTTCTACAGGCGAACAACATTGGCGTTTTGCCTTGGCCGGCGCTGCACCAGGAGTGGGGAAGAATCCCTCGTCATCTTCTAGGCAATTTGTGCGTTTCCATGAGACGCCGCCTTGCTGCTGTTATCGCAAGTAGAGGTGGACACACGCGCTACTGATTTTCGAGATGAAAATTCTCCGACAAGTCTATTTAAAATTATGTTTTTATGCCACCGCAGCATCTGCGATGCGGTGGCATATAGCGATTCACCTGTGTGTCTGTGTGTGTGTTTGTGTGTGTGGGTGTGTTTGTGTGTGTGTGTTTGTGTGTGTGTTATAGATTATATAGTGAACTTAAAAAATCCACTTGTGAAAACCACTAGTCCAATTTCAATTAAACTTGGCAGGATTGATTCTTGGATGAAGGGCTTCCAAAGTTGTTCAAAGAAATTCATTCCATGCAGAAATCTGGTAGCCATGGCAACCAAAAGGAATTATAAGAATAAATTAAAAAATATTCTTGTAAAGACCTAATAGGCCTAGAGCTTAGATATTTTGCATAAGGCATTGTCTGGTAGACCTCTACCAAGATTATTCAAATTATAGCCCTGGAGTCAAAATTGGCCCCGCCCCGGGGTCATTGATTTTCACTATGTACATATAGTAAAAAATCAAAAAATCTTATTGTCTGAAGGTACAAGGCCTTTAACCTTTAATATTTGTTATATGATATCACCTTTAGGTACTCTACCAAACTTGTTGAAATTTTGCCTCTTGTGTCAAAATTAGCCCCGCCCCGGGGGTCATAGGTTTTCCTTATATGTATATAGTAAAAACTTTAAAAATCGTCTTCTCTAAATTGACAAAGGCTAGAGGTTAGATATTTTGCATAAAACATTGTGTAGTGAACTTCTAGCAAGATTATACAAATTATAGCCCTGTGGTTAAAATTGGCCCCACCCCGGGGGTCATTGATTTTCACAATGTACATATAGTAAAAAAATAAAAAAATCGTCTTCTCTAAATTGACAAAGGCTAGAGGTTAGTATTTTGCATAAAACATTGTGTAGTGAACTTCTAGCAAGATTATACAAATTATAGCCCTGGGGTTAAAATTGGCCCCATCCCGGGGGTCATTGATTTTCACTATGTACATATAGTAAAAAATTAAAAAATCTTCTTGTCTGAAGGTACAAGGCTTAGAGCTTTGATATTTGGTATATAATATCAGCCTATGGGTCCTCTAATAAAGTTGTTTTAATTATACCATAAGTGTTAAAATTGCCCTGCCCCAGAGGCGATAGATTTCCTTATATGTATAAAGTAAAAACTTGAATAATCTTCTTCTCTGAATTGACAAAGGCTAGAGGTTAGATATTTGGCATGAGACTTTGTGTAGTGACCCTCTACCAAGATTGTTCAAATTATAGCCTTGGTGTCAAAATTGGCCGCTCCCCGGGGGTCATTGATTTTCACTATGTACATATAGTAAAAAAATAAAAATCTTCTTGTCTGAATGTACAAGGCTTAGAGCTTTGATGTTTGCTATATAATATCATCTATAGGTCCTCTACCAAAGTTGTTCAAATTTTCCCCCTGGTGTCAAAACAGAAACTACCGTAAAACAAATGTTTTATGAATTGGAGAAAGCTACAGCTTAGATATTTGACATGAAATGTTGTTTAGTGGACCTGTATCAAGATAGTTTTGAATTAAACCCTTGGTTCAAAATTTTGCCTTGCCCAAGGGGACAGTGACCTTTTTTCTTGTCCTTTGATGTATAGCAATGAAATTTTGACCATGTGCACAGTTTTCGTTGTAAAATTGAACTTTGATATCAGGTGACCTAGATTTTGATGATGTGACCTACTTTCTTGTCCTTTGATGTACAGCTATGAAATTTGAACCATGTGCACATATTAAAATATAAAGTGAACTTTGATGACTCAGCTGACCTAGATTTTGACAAAGTGTCTTACTGTGTTGTCCTTTGATTTAGTCATGAAATTTAGGCTGTGTGAAATATGACCTTCACCACCAAATTCGATAGACTCAACTGCATTGATATATTCCTACTCTGATCTTTTATTAGTCCCCAGGGGACTTTAGGTTTATCCTCCGTCCGTCTGTCTGTCCGTCCGTCAGTACGT